CAATATTTGATGAGTCTATAACGATTACTATACGGAAAGTTTGAATTCAAAAGCATTTATAAAAAAACCTTGAATGAAGTGCTTGTGTCATTGTTAAGTAGCATCGATCAGTTAGTGGTGTTTGCACAAGTTTTTCTTGTATACCGAGATATTCGAAACCGTATGGGAATTGTGCGTTAGCCATCCGAACGTTACAGCACTGGCGAGGATCGGCTTGACGAGAATCCAAATAGAAACGCATACATCGAAGCCAATAAAAACTCGTTAACGATGTCACTTTATTGGCCACTAAACCGCGACAAATGTCTCGTTTGTGCACAAACTCTGTGATCTGCAATACTTTCGTTCAACCTAGCACTGATCATACCAGTAGCACGCTTCGGTCAACAATCAATAAAGCGAATCTTCATTAACGCTAAATAAACCCCTCCCGAATCGAACAAAATCTTTGACTTCATTGATCACACTTCAACAATCGGAAGAATAATTTCAAAAAAAAAGAAACCAATTGAAGACGCTTAATAACAAAGCAAACTCTGCGAAAACTTACAAGTGATTCGATTTTCTTTCGTCTTATTGGCGGTTGCTCTCGCAGAACACTATCGGCGAGCAGCGCCAACGCCGTATCGACCGTATTTTCAACGTCTTCGACGGTTTTTCCTTCCGATAATCTCTTCTCCACTTGAGCACACCACCATATATTTGCTGCTAAATCGATCACTTGCGCCTTAAATGCCAATTAGTTGAATATCGATAGATATATTATTTCCGAAATGACAAACTTTCAACTGCCATAGAACAATTAAATGAACACATAACAATAAAATGGTTTTTAAAAAAATCGAAATTTTGTTCCGTTTAAAATAGAATATGATGACAACTAACCGGATACTGGTCTAACCAATCCATAAAATGTTGCGGTTCCACCGTCATAACGTCCATCTTCGAGAAATTATTCAACGCTTCTGTGGCCAAATGAGCTAATGTATTTTGCATTTCGTTTTCAACTAAACGCAACCACTCGTTGATTCGCGGATTTTCCTGTATTAATCAAATTTATTCGGTAACAAAACATAATAGAGCATCCATGCAGAGAATCAGGATCAATTCGCCGGGAACATCATTGCCAATCGTTTAAAATCCACTGAATTCATCTGAAGCAATTACTTCACGAAATGGGGATATCATTCACAACAATATACCACGAGTTAATTCAACATAACCCTATTGTGATTCAACTCACTACTTTACATTGATTGCTAAGATACTTATAGAGGTAATAATCGAATAAAACACATCTAATAAACAACATGAAACAATAACAATAATAATTACTACCTTAATGCTGACCGGCTTCACCAGTTGCACTCGTTCGCCCTCACGACTATTCAGTGCAGTTACCAAGAGATTCTCCTCGTCAACATCGATAGATGTTATTCCAGCGAACATTTTTTTGAGATGTTTTTGTAAACGTGTTATGTCCTTACTGAAACCGCACAAAAAGTGCTAAGCTCTAACGAACGCAACAAAAAAGTTCAAATTTGAAGTTTGGAATACCAATGCAAATTCTGACCTATTCCCCATAATTTCGAGTAAATCTTCATCACCAACGAAATAAAATCTTGGGAATGAACTTCTTTCTCGTTCCAAATATTCGCCAAGAGCTCTTTGTATTTTCGACAACATATCAGCAAGTCTCTCCAAAACTCGTTGTGCGCCTTGCATATTCACAACGTCAAGAATACGTGGTGCTGCTGTCACTTTTTTCATCAGTGCCAAAAATTCTGTTGAAATACTGAAAAATGTAATGAATAAACAAATAAAAAATCAATTCTAATTCATATCACTTATGTAGATCGTTGATGAATCCACACGTTGCTACTTACATCAATTTACTTGTATCATCCACCCAACAATTGTGTATTTTTACATTATTCCTTTCGCATAATCTTTCTTAGAAACAACTGATTTATTGAAGCTGACCAAAAACACATAAAACCAATGTCGAAGTTAGAGTTTGATGAAATGAATCCAGTTTTATTACCTTGCGAATCTAGCTGATTCAACTGGTAACAAAGTTTTGATATCAGCCGATGCCGAGAAAAGACCCTCCAGATAGACCCATCGACGTTGAACATCGATCCATACATCAAATAATGCACTAATTTTATTCAATTTTTCTTCCCATGCCAACGCATCCTTAAAGTTTAATTTTTAATGCTATCACAAGAATGTTCCGTAAACGAGAGCATTCCATTCAACTGCAATGTAATGTCAATACGTCTCTACTAGTGAAACGATTTGATGTCATACATAAAATCCATCCCAAAAAGCGGGCTCACCGGACATGATTTCTTTGAATGAGAGAAGTGTACCAACCTCTTCGAATTGCTTATAATAAGGTGATAATTTCATAGCCGTTAACGAGTTCATATGTTCTTTGAGTTTGTTGAACAGCTCATCCCAACCACGAATTAATTTTGTTTTATTCTGATAATTCACTAAATCCACTTCAAACGATTGCCAATACTCACGTACCTTAATGGGCCGTCGTATCAGATTGAATAAGAAATTACCATAACAACATCAATAATAATAATAATAATAATAATAATAATAACAATAATAAGAAATAAATAAAATAATAATAATAATAGTAATAATAATAGCCACAGATGGGCGATAGTGCGCTATTTACCATTCCGCTACGAGCGGTGCCTTTTTCATTAGCTCGATAGGTCACTACTTTTTCCATACAATGGAAATCTGCAGCGATTATTTTTAGGGGAACAAAAATATTTTTGAAAGCGAATTAGCGGAGCTGGTATTTTTCGGCAGCGCGCTCATCACTTATAAAACTTTTCTAAAAATGCACTCACCTGTTTCAGGAACTCCTCAAGGGCTAGTTCACCTTGTGCAACTAAAAGAACTTGCTTAATGGCTGATTCATAGCGCAGTAAATCAGCGTCCCAAACTTGACCAAGCGTTAACTCTGAGATGTTCCACGACACTCTCAACTCTTTCATCAACTGCTTCCAGTGACGCTCTTTCAATGCTTCAGATTTCAATTCAACCACAATCATATTCATCTATAAGACCAACTACGATAAATAATAACAATAATGGTTAAAGCAAAATAATTAAGCGCAACGTTATGCTAGTTTTCAACGGTATTCATTTCTAGCCACACGCTTTTGAACTGCACTGAGAACTACTGTCATACTATCACAATATTTGTTTTCATTCAATAATAAAATTCAACAAAACCATCATAATTTGTTCTAAACCTTAAATGAAAAACCAAATTAATTCAAATGAAAAGGCATTGAATCAAATGATATAACCTTTGAATAGTTATGCATCATTCGCTTGGCATAATCATAGGATTCATAGGAACGGTACTTGGCCGGAAGTTGTTTCAACTGGGCTAATAATTCGTCAAGATTTTGACGCAGCTTACGTGGCTGTACCGATAACCAAGTTTTTTCCTTCATTTCTTCAATTGCATTGTAGAGTGGTGTCAGTGACTGCCACACACCTAAAAATAATGCGAGGATGATGCAGCGCAAATGACTGAATAATTAATAATAATAATAATAATAATAATAATAATAATAACAATAATACCTTTGAGATCGCTCAGTTCCTCGACAGCAACGTCAAGCTTGGCAGCGTGTGAGCCAGCAACGATCGGCTCGTTCATCTCAAGAGCACCTTTTGCTTTTACCATATTCTCACGATCCTCTTTCACTTTATTCAGTTTTGCTTCGAACGCCGCTAACGAGGCCAATGCATCCGTCGGTTTTTGCGATCCCTCAAAGTTATTTCGTTCTTTAATGAATTAATCAACACACAAAAAGGATAGAATTTATAGATATTACTCGCCAATTTCGATATATCCATTCAATGAATTACGGACAATCGCTTGAATACGTTCGAAATTACTATTTCATAACTCAAATGATTAACTAGAAGATCAAAATCGAATGAAAGCAATGAATAACAGCAAATACCTTAATCGGCTTCGCTTTGTCCCACTCACCGAGAACATCCTCAGTTCTTTTCTCGACCAACTCATCCTCTTCCTTGATCTTTGACTGTAGATTCGCTACCTAAATCACACGCTACATTTAATGTCAACAGGCTGGCTGAGTGAATAGTGCTAATGCTGTTGTTCCATTAGAATATTTATTTGCATCCTCGTATCGCAACGTTATGGCAAACTAAAACCGCGAGAAATAACAATTAAAAATGCCAAAATTCGATCTCACGTTGCGACACACTATCCAACCAAACATAATATTAACATAATCGAAAAGAAACAAGAAAATAAATCAGGCGTCAAGCACAATACTGTTGATATGATATCCTTTCAGCAACCTCAAACACTTTTCATGCCTTAAAAGCACTAAGTTCATCAAAAACGCAATATCAAAATCTTTTTTTAAAATTTCATTCATTCATCGTTTTCGACTTTCAGATAAATATATACGAATACTCAAAAAAAGACTGACATCGTTGGATAGAAATTCAACTTGACTGAATTCTAAATGTTGTTCATGAACACAGCGATATGGTTAGTGAAAAAGAAGTTTTAGAGAATAACGAAAGCAAGCAATGAAACTATGCCTCAACACAGCAGCACACAACTCTAATAACATCTCTGCTCGCTCAAAATCTGTTTTTCACAATATTAATTTCTTGGAGAGAGCGAATTTGAACCAGTCAATAGGTCAAGCATGGCATAAGTTTAGATTGAGATTGCTGGAAATAGATTAAGACTGCTCCATTCACACTCGTAAATTTTTATGGTATGTTGTGAAGAAATACCGATCACAATCACCAACAGTTGCTAAATGATTATATCAACAATGTATAAAGATACATGCACTATCATCCACTTATCCTATTGCTATTTGTGAGAGCATTTCTTTCTTTTCAAGCATCTTTCCAGTCAACTGAATGAGTGAGTGAGTCATTGATTTATCTCAGTTGAAAAGAAGCAATAGTTACAACTAGACATATTCATGCACAACACCAATTCAAACAAATCAACTCGCTTCATAACAAACTCATTCCATCATCATATTCCGCTCCTCTCATAATCCTTCTCTTTATAAGCATCCTATCTGAGCGCGATACCACAAATACTGCTCTGATACGTCAATATTGACTGACAATAGTTGTATTGACAATATCCTTTTTCCTTCAAAATAACGAAACGATTTGCTTTCTCAAATAAACTTAATTTCTTAAATTCTCAGCAGATGAAAGAAGTTTGTGCTCATGTTGGACATAACAACAACGAAAGGGAAATGAAGCACAGCAATGCAAATTAAATATGTATTGAGAATAATGTAAGCGAGCGATTAATTATTATGCCGATACGAACAGATTGAAAGATTGCTGCGATAGAGTTGAACACAAATGCTCGGGGATGCAATATCCATATGTGTATACCGCAAAACTTCTGATTGCATTCGGAAAATTTTCATGTATTTTTGAACAGTCGAATGAAATGCAAATTCGAACAGTGCTACGGATTGTAAGCGGAGTGGCGAAGTGGAAATGACGCTTTTCGAAGTTTTACAGTACATGCAAATACATATTTAATGAATATTATAACACATACCACAGTGCCACAGCTCGGATCAGCTAGCTGTACACGGATATTTATGAATTATTAGTGCACTTCAAACTTGATTACTTCAAACTATTTCTCATATTTCAAAATTACAACTCCCGTTCGAACATGAAAACTAGATTCAAAATGCATACTCATCAGAAATCATTCAGTATATTAGTACTGAAAAAATCGCATCTTGTCCGTAAAAAAAAACTAATCATTACCATAAATTTAAAACTCATCAGAAAGTGTTTTGTTTGCCAATTTTATAACTTTTTCAACATGTTCTTCCAAGAAAATAACAGCTCGATATCATCACTAATGGGTTCAGTATCTATCTATCTTTACAGTGAGCAATTACTGGTTAGAGCACAGCACACATTTAGGTGTTGTTGCGGATTATAGAAAAGGTTGTGTTATTATTTAGGTATGGAAATATTCAACGAGAAAGAAACGAACAAATGAGCACATAACGAATGATTGTGCGATGTACAACACATCTTTGGATATGTCGCCTATTGAGAGTGATTTGATTCGTTAAAAGAAAACTCAAGATGACACATTTAAACGCTGATTCGAAACAATCATCATTGTCTCACTATCATCACTCCTTTGTGTTTTATAAAACAATTTTCCTCTAGTGTAACAAATTAAGTGCGTACATCTATGAATAAGAGATCAGAAACAGTTCATGAGCATGCACTACGAATTTAACGCATTTCGATTCTTACTGAAACCAAACCAATTTGCTTGAACCGAACAAATTTTTTAAGTTCGTTTAAACAAGAGCATTCGAAAAACAGAAAATAAAACTCAAATCACATTTTCCTGATTCGTAACTCACTTCAAATACAAACAAGCAATGAATCGTCAATGTTTCGCTACTGTTACCTATGAGTCCATTTAATATATCAGATTAATAAAGGGTTGATTCGATATAGTGCATGTGAAATAGTCGAAGAGAGCACGAATGTAAACATTTCAAGTTAAACGAAAGAAGAAAGATGATAAACCTGTGCTTGGATTGCAGAATCTTTACGTTCCAATATATCACTTAAGGCCGACCATTCACCGTCAATATGCTCCGAATATAACCAAGCTGATGGGAACTGATAACGTTGATGGGTGAGTAAACGCTGTGCGGCACGAAACTGTTCAACCTGTGAATAAATAAACAATTAATCTTTCACTCATTCATTAAAATAAGCGTCTTGCATTCGTTTGTTGGCCATTTGATGAAAGAGTAAAATCAAGGAAAGTTGATGATAGCAGACTGATTTGGATTATAAACCCACCCTTTCTTGACATGTTTTGGTTTTCTTTTTGAGCTGCTGAACATAAGTGATCAACTGAATCGCATCACTCGTCGTGCCACTATCAACACTTTGTTCTTCGAGTTCATGCCGCCATTTCGAAATCTCCGAGAAGAATGTTTGCATTTCCTGACCTAAATGTTTCATGTTAACGCTGACAGGTGAGTAAACGCTGCGCGGCACATTAAGCAGACTCTTCTTCTCGGCATTGAACTCTTACAATATGATCCAATTAATGTAACGGTCTGATTATAACATTATCAAAATAAAACCATTCAATGAAAGTAAAACCACTCATTTTCAATAGAAGTCAACTTCAATAACATTTATCTAATGTAAGATATATTCTTCAAAACCGGTCGAAAGTAAATGATAACTAATAATTATTAATAGAACAATAGTAGCAGTGAAAAAAAAAGAAATAATAGATAAATAAACAAAACTAAGCCTAACCAACAGATGTGCCGAACTTCTGCAGGATTTCACGATGCCAATAGTCGTACTTCAACGATACTTTCGACTGCACTTTTGCATAATCAACAACTACTGGGAATATTTCTTTTCTTGTTTCTTGTGTATCGAACGTTGATCGTGATTTGCGAATCTCCACTAACGTTTTCATCCATTTCGACACATCATTACTCAAACGTTCATACAACAAATCCGGTTGCAAATCCCATAAGGCCTATAACTGATTATTGCAAAAGAGCAGTTAATTCTTCGTTCACTCTAGTCACTGATCAAAACAGAAAACGACCTGATATCGCAGCCATTCACCAACATACTCTGCAACTTCCTTGATCACCTTCTCAACAGCTGTATAAGCTTGTTCTAATATCTTTTGACCTTGTGGTAACCGTGCTAACACATCACGATATGTCGTGTCTGTGCTGTCCCGAACAAGAGCCAACTAAAAGAAGAAATGTATTCATTGCTCTGTTTAGTTGCATCAAATGTTTATTAACTCTCAATTACATCTATCTAATAAGACAACCTGGAATCTGGTACTGGATATTCTTGGTTGACTGATAACAATGGATTGCCACGCAAGAAGTTGATCCAGTAGATGAGCTCGAGCCTGCTCAATACTCGGACTCACATACATCACCTGCGAAGTGACACGCATCTCCAGAACGATCGGTTGTAACGCTGGCAAGAGAACCTTTTCTTCACTTTCATCATCCACTTCTTCATGCGTTAGCACTAACGTCCATAAACGGATTGCTTCCTCCACTCGTGACGCTAATTTCTTCTCGATCTTCAAATTTTCTCGTTATCACTTCAACATTTTCAACGATTATAACTCGCTGTAATTTCCTTAAAATATGTTTCAAAATAATAACTAACCCTTTTATCGATGCTCTCAACCCAATAATGTAAATTCGAGTAATTGCCAAGGGAAAGTTGGTCGACAGCTTTTTGAATTGATGATAAGAGCGCAGCGATGGTGGCTGATGAATACTGACATGTGTCCAGTGCGGCTAGATCGACCTTAAATTGCATGTTGTGAGTATTGAAGTGGAACGTTATTTCGAGTAAATAGAGAGATTGAACCATAAGATGATGTGCTGAAGCTTGTTAGCATCACAAAAAATAACAAAGACCGTCATCAAACGAAGTAAAATTCAATACACTCCAAAAATTACCTCGATTCTATCCAACACCATATCCAATTCTTCCACTTTTTCTTGATAATTACTTATGGTTTCAGATAGCTTCACCACATAAGGATCCATCTTATATGATTCCCATTGCAAGGTATTACCCTTAAAGTTGTTTTATATCGTGAAAATGTCTGGCAAAAAATAATTGATAACTAATTTTAGAACAGTGTGTGTCTAACAAAAGATAGAGCCCTATTAGCGGTCAGTTCCTGAAATGACTCGTTGAGAAGTGCCCTGCAAAGAATTACGAAAAGATTCAGTCGTAATCGAAAGTCGTTCGAGAGTAAATAACTTATTGATTACCTACCTCAGCAAGTTGATTCTGTATGTCCTTTTTGCATGAAGCGATCAGTAGATTGATACCCTCTTTTCCTTGGATACGCTCATTAATGGAATCATACGTTCGCAACGATTCAAGAAGTGATATGGCAAATGGATATAAAAGATTTGCTTGATGTGCTGTATTGACAATCTTTAGAGGAATACGGAAGCCCATATGTTTTAGATTTCGAACCTTTAAAAATCAATCATTTTTCTAGCACATCGAAACAATGCGATGTTCACATTTCATATCATCATCTTATCGAGTAATCGATTGAATTCACTCACTCATAAAAAACTGATATTACTCAAAATGCCGAATCGTGGTCACGAATCTATGCACCCATACATATATCTCTTAAATTTATCCATAAGCAGAAATGATTCACTCAGGAAAAATGCATTACCTCTTTAAAAAGCGTAACAACATCTGGTGAGAAATTAACTTTAAGTTTCAATGCAATACGACCATCTTTTTGACGTTTTTCGATGGAGAAAACTCGACCCGTAAGCGAAATATTCTTTGACTGAACTTTTGCAATCCACTCCTCGAAGATGGGCTGTGTGTTCAATTTTTGACGGAAATTATCACCTTCCTGCTTCAGGCGACGACCTTGAACAATCAATCCCAAATAATCATTTCTTACCCGTTTCAAACAAATTCGCAACGAAAACGAATCGCACACATTAGCATAATAGGTGTAATTATTTCAGCACATAATTGATTTGGTTATAATTACGTTTAATCGCCAAACTGTGAATAATTTTAATTGTTATCAATATTATTACTCGAGAAATAGCAAAAAAAAATTGATTGACGAAAGTCATTTGTAACATCAAAAAAATACCTTCAACATGATTCTCCCAGCCTCGTCCCAATACATCTTCAATTCGTTTCATATACTGTGTTAGTTTACGATCAATTTGTCGAATGAAGATTATTGATGCGGAAAACGGTGGAATGTCAATCATACTCAGACTGCGTTCATTTGACGATTCCGAAAAATTTGTAAAGCGAATCTGCAAACGACACATACCAAATGATCAGTTTAGATAGTCAATTTACAAAATGAGCAAGCAACTGAGTACTGCTCTATAAAAAGTGCGAATAGGAGGAAAAATAACATATAAAAGCGTTCAACATAAAAAGTGATTACTTGTAACTGATCGATATCCTCTTTGACTCGTTGAATGAGCTGTGCCTGATACTCACGAATCGCACCACGAATGTGCGGTCGTACGAATAATGCGTTGAAACGTTGGAATATCGTAAACATTTCATCGGCATTTTTTGCACCACCCAACTGGTCACGTAAACGCGCTGTTATTTGAGTTTCAACTCGATCAATTTGGTCTTCATATCTGAATGAACGACAATACACTAAATGACACATAAAAAGATGACAACGTTGAAGGCTCTCGAAAACTGTAGAAAGAATATCACGCATAATACATATTGATAGGATTTAGCAAAGATGAATCAATCACTTTCTCATACACACGTATTCCACCATCATCACTCAGCGCTTACAGATTAAAATGCGTACTTTTTAATGGATGGCACATCAAACACCAAATTTTCAACTAGCAAGCAATGATAACAAACCTTCTGATTGCTGCTTCCCAAGCAACGGTTCCATCGTTGCTCACATCAAGACAGTCCACTTCTTTGACATTCTCATAAGCAATATTCACCTGTTCGATAGCACTCAAATCAGCACCATTCATTGCTGCTGTCTTCTCAACATCACCTTCTGCATTCACCGTATCACTGTGAATACTTCCACCTGCTGGACGCAACACTCGTGATATTACTGTGCGTAACTGTTCATGCTGACTGCAATAAAATCAGTTTTACTTTAAATCTGTATTACAGTAAGGCACCAATCAATTTGTTTTGTAACTAGACCACACAAATAAGCTCAGCTAATATTCAAGTACAAAAAGAGTTTATCTTCTGTCGAACGCTTATCAATTTCAGCATTTACTATCAAAATGAAATACCGCCTGAATTGTCGCATTTGGTCGAGTCTCGCTTCAAGTTTTTTGTGTTGTGGATTGATACGCCACGTCAATTTGAGTTGTTCATCACGTTTTTTCTTCGACAAATCACGCATTAACGTTGATAGTTTATCGTACTCATCATTCCACGTTACGAATACAGCAAAACACTGTGTCATTAATGCATCGAAATCATTGAGAGGTATGTTCATGAGACGTCTCGTACCGAGCACCTTCAACAACGCAATTCTTCACTGACAACAACCGAACATACTCGTTAAGAAATTACCTTTAGCATTTGAGTGTAAACATCCTTTGAAATGGCTTCAACGAAACGCAACGCTCTTTGAATTGGATATTTGGTATTACGTAATTTTTTCATATGTAGAAATATGTTGACCAATGCAATACGTATCGCATCCATATCAGTTGCAGCCATCAGCTCATTCAGCGGTAAATCTTTCATTAGCACATTGTAATCATTCACCATCGCCATTGCTTGTTTCAAACCTCAAAATTATCCACATCAAGCTGTCGCCATTCAGTTCACTGTATATAATGACCGATTCAATTTATAATCATTCAATCGAATTGCATGTTATCAACTGAACTGTAGACAGTCCACCAAAATAAATGAAATATAAGCACTGACCAGTGTCTGTATCAAACGAAACAGTCGCATGAAATCGTTTACCACATTTCAACGCTTCAAGTGTTAATATAACTTCATCGGATTCTCGTTTTTGTGCGATTTTGTATAGCGCTCTTTCAAGATTCAACCAAAACGTCATCTCTTGTAATGAAGTACCGGAACCTGCATCCCGATCCAATTTCGTTACCTTCAACAATGAGAAACATATGATGCGGTTGTGGTATACATTAGCTGAATGAGTGCAGTCGTCCGTACGTGACACAGCTGAAACAGCGATACCGCACGTTCAACAGCATCGCAGTAACATAAAACAATCACCCAAATCATAACGGTTCTCTTACTGAGCAATACTCACAATGATAACAGCAGTAATATTATAACAGCAATAAAATATTTATGCAACCTTTTGTATTTCTTTAATCCACCTGCTAACACCCTTCTGAAGCGCATTCAAAAAGACTGAATTCTCAACATTATCTCCTAGATCTGTTACACGAGCCTTGCGACCTTCTTCAGTTGCTTTTTGAATAACGCTTTGAATAAGCGGATGGATGACGAGATTTATTTCGGGAATATCGATATTTTGTTGCATATGCAGCAATGCCACTTCAACCTTCAAATAATCCATGTTTAAACAAAATTAATGCTTTCTGTACTGAAAGAATCTTGTTAGAAAGCAATAACCTGAAGAATAAAATGAATTGTCATGATACGGTCATTCTTGATATTTAAAAATTGAGTTCTAAAATTAACAGTAATAAATTCAAGAAGAGTGCACAAACCTCGCTGAGGTTCTTTTCAACTGACAAAGCAAGCTTATCACCATCTCGTTCTCCCCTTCCTGACTCTTTAACCAGCGATTTGAAGAAAGGTGTACCAATTTTGCCAAATATCGACAGCAACACATCATATGGATTACTTTCTGGAACTCTATAAACGAACAAATTCAAAATTAACTCCATATTTAAGGTTGATTTCGGAATCGCACAGGTTGAATTCGACATCTAATGCTGATGGAATGAAAAGTCTACCATTTCCAAGTTGGGATGCGTCACTATATTTCAGCATACACCCTTCAAATGCAGAATAATGTCTTTAAAAAATATAAGACGTTGAAGTTAAATCACTTGACAACGAAGAGCTGTTCCTCGACAGATTTATCAGCCTCGATAACCGCACCAGCTTTGAGAACAAGGAGTGATGATGTTCGCTCAGTACGCTTACACATTCCATTCGAGATCCTCAACACTGCGCTACTTTCATCAGCTGTATCTTCCGGATTTGTATCTGAAAATTCAAATTCGAATCTGCAGTCAGCATCACTCCAGCATATATGCATAGCTTACTCGAAATTCATTGATAAGCGCAACAAACATTATTCTAAATTGCGCAACAAGAACGATCAATAAATAGCACCCACCTCTAGTGACTATACGATCGACAACAATCATGCCAACTTGGGGATCGCTGATTAATTTCTGAATACATTCAATTGCGGAAGCCTGCGAAATGGCTTCATCCAAAAGGGCAGAATCTATGTTAAAACACATCTGCTTAATATATGACACCACTGCTGAGACATCGGCTAAAGTCACCTGAAATTGACTTAATATTTTTTAAACGAACATTATCAGATGATTAGATACAAGCCAAATCATAGTCAGACTCAACATTGGTAAATCACTCCATTTCGAGTGAAATTTTCCTCGGTGAACGACTAGCGAACCCACGACTTTGCAGCTATCGGTTAGGTGCCCTACCTCTCGACAATCGCTTAGTCATCGAGCCTCCGTGTGGTTGTGTTGCTTAGAGCACCCAAAAAAAGTGAGTGGTACGTCGCGAGTTTGATTCCCGTTCGCCGGGGAAAGTTTTGCTCGAAACGGAGTGGTGTAACAATGCCATTGACGTTATCAGCTGGGTAAAAGTGGTCACTTCGATCCAATGATGGATCTATCGAAAAATAACCTTTACTGAACCGCTTCGGTGCAAATATGAATTTGAAAATATGTTTTTATTACAAACCTCAGCAGGTGTTGGTTGACCCGTAAATGTGGATTTATCACTTTCCGAATCGGTCATCTTTTTTGAATTTCTGCAATTAAGATGATATGAAATTGTAAAATTACTTAAGACGATCGATGAAAACAAATCAATAACGACAATATTTGTACGCGCATCACAAAGAACGATTAAGTTTTGGAAGGAAGAGACTGTGTCAGCTGGATGCTTGATAACTTGGGATTAAGCAAGCAAATTATAAGTTTCAAACTTTACGAATGAATCTGATGATGCATTTCAGAGAATACCGCTTGGTTTCACATACTTGCACGGTTAGTAATGCTAAGAGCTACGTTGAGTGCGAAACGAGAGTGACAACCAGCGAAAGGAATCATCGAAAAATGGATTTGCTAGAGAAGAGCGTTTGTTTGTAGTATGCACAGCAATAGACAACACACAACAGACTACTATAGACACTCTATACCTCTTTGTCATATTGAATTTTTCCATAGCACGGCACTGATTAACACAAATGCTGTCTGTATACAAGGGGTTCTCATATGGAAGTTGGGGGGGGGGGGACGGAATGTTACTCCATTGGGGCTAATTTGGGGGTGTCAGGGGGTAATAGAAGACGTCGGGAAACTGAAGCTGAATAGAGCAGGTTTTTCATGATTCTTTTTCGATGATCTCAGTGACAACCAGAACATTAATGCGAAACTCAGACAGTGCTTCGAAACTTATAACTTAGTCCAATCTCTTGACCAGCCCCGCTTGTCCACTTGAAATTAGATTGATATTCTTTTAGTATGACATGAATGCGATTTGGAGACAGCTGTGGCATAAATCGAGTTTCTTTCCACCTTGTAGCTTAAAAGAAAAATTGAATTCTATCAATAACCACAGTTTACATAAGATCTCACTCTCAGCTTAATTTAAACGATGAATTTCTGATATCTGAACAATTGTTTCGTGGTGTGGCAATTCATTCTGCACAGTTCAAATACAAATCCGGGCGTAACGAGAATGCAAGGTGA